ACGCCTGCACGCACGCACGCACACACACGCCTGCACGCACGCACGCACACACGCCTGCACGCACGCACGCACACACATGTTATTCTCGAGGCACCCCGGTTTCTCTATCTCTCGTTCCGGTCAGTACTTACGTCGCTATCTGTCTCAGCCGTGAAAATAATAATGATAGTGATAATAATAATAACAACAACAACAACAACAACAACAACAACAATAATAATAATAATACGACAACGAAGAAGGTGAAGTAGAAAAAGTAACAGAAGGAGACGAAAAAATGTTCTCGGATGCATCTCCGGAAAAAAAAAAATGCGCGGACACCACACGCCACCGCCATCTCTCATATCACATATCTCACCCTCCTCTCTCTATCTCTGCGTCTTCTTTCAGCTCGTCAAGGAAGCGTTCAGCTACTTCCAGAGCGACCAGAGCCGGCTGCACCCGGCGGAGAGCGCGAGCAACATGGCCGCCTTCCTCGACACTTCGCCAGACATCGTCAACGGCACGACGAGCTACCTCGCCAAGGCCGCCGTCAACAGCCTCCTGCAGGGCCCCCTGGTGGAGGCCAACGTGAACGACAAGCCGTGCAAGATGATGTAATGCGCGGCGGCGGCGCCCCCTGGGGGGAGTAATGTCTCCGACAAGTGCAAGATGACGCAATGAGCGGCGGCAGCAGTGGCGCCCTCTGGCAGAGCAACAGCAACTACTGCGTGGCCCCCTGGTGGAGAGCAAAGCATTGTGTGCGACAAACGGCGAGCGGCGCCCTCTCGTGGCAGTGACACGTTGACGATGCCGCGCATGTCACGTCGTTCGCTTAGCGTAGAATTCTTAGGAATTTTGTAAGGAATATTCGTTAGGAATTTCGTTAACAAATTTTCTCTCTCCTACTCTGTCCCTCGTCGCGACCCCGGTAACATTCGTATATGAGTTTGTAGCGCGCTGTTGGCGTGTTGTGCATTCTCTTGTTTGAGAAAAAGTGCCTACAGATTGCAATCGTATTCGTAAGATAGAGGTATATATATATATATATATATATATATATGTATACGTCAAATTAATAGGCATGTATTGATATGAGATTTTTTTATTGTTCTTGCTAGGCAATTGAAAACGGGTGGAAAAATCAGAATCCAGTTGCTACATTCACATATCAGTTTAGTGGTGGGGGGGGGGCCACTAGTGATCAAATTTGAATTTGAGGTTTTAAGTGCTCTTTGTTCTCAACAGCATTGCTTATCATGTACATCTGTCATCTGTGGTCTAATTATAATATGAATCT